GAACGACGAATGAAATCACAAGGGACATTACTGGTGTATTTTCTCAGATTTAAACGAACCGAAAGCTCTTTGGTTCTGGGCTGCTGTGAGGAGGGTTAATGTGTCAGTGTCCTGTTCCTTGTTCCTCTCTCAGGTGATCTGGAGTCCTATAAGAAGCAGTCGTTCGTGCTGAAGGAGGCAGTGGAGTACAGGATAAAGATCAGCTTCAAGGTTAGATGCTCACAACAGGAAACATTTGAACTGTAATCGCTAGGGATGAATGGTTCAACTTAAAAATACCATGTATTAGTGTCTGTTATTAGATGATGTCAATGATGATGCCCTGTATGTCCACATTACGTCATGGCTGCGTGAATAAATCTGCTGTGGGATAAACACTGACACATTGTGTACGACTGCATATGCAAACATGCTGCACTGAATTAACGTCATGTCACTGCTCCACATCTGTTTACAGGTAAACAAAGAGATCGTCTCGGGGTTGAAGTACGTACAGCAGACCTTCAGGAAAGGGGTGAAGAGTAAGTGTTCTTGAAAAATTACACACTTTTGCAAGTCACACATTAATTTTGGATTCTGCTAAATAAAAAAAATGCAGTACGACTAATACTAATATGACCTATAAATACTGTAATACTTCATTACATAATTGTATTTATTTTACTCGTGAGTTTTTCATGGGTATTTGGCAACACATATCTAAACATTTTGACACTTTCAAGCAACCTTAATTCGTATCGCTTGACTCTTGTTTTAATTTTGGAGTGAAATTATATGATCCACATATTTTTGGACAGCCCTAATTGTAACGTTTGCCGTAAAGCAGTCGAATTTTGTAGTTCTTTTTGTGGTCTGGTTACTACCCGAACCCTGGAGTTTCGTAGTGCCAGTGAATGCGATACAGACCCCGTCAGGCTATGGCAGAAGTGCCTTTAACCCTGTTACGACTTGATGAACCACTGATAAGATTTTGGAAACATTATTTTAAGGTAAAAAATGTTACATATACCCCTTTTCCACCAAAAAAAGAACTGGTTCGGAACTGGTGCTGGTTCGGAGTTGGTTCAACTTGCGAACCGCTTCAGAACCTATTTGTTTTTCCACTGACTAGAGCGCCCAGGGAACGACGTCGTTACGTCACTGTGTACGTCGCCATACGTCTATTGCAAATACAACATTTCTTTCGGATTATCTCTAACTCGTATACCAAGAAAGCTTTAAAAACAATTGAAATATGTAAGTCTTTTAATCTTTTCGTTTGTTATGTAATTTTTTCTGATTAAGTTATGTACCCCTGTAATTGTGTCTTTTTTTTCTTTCCATTTATTTGTTCTATATTGTGACTTTTCTTCTTTGCTTATAATGTCTTCAATAAAAATAAAATACAAAAATAGAAACGCTTGCGTTAACTTCAAGCATAACAATTACAAAGGCGGACTCCATCGTGTTTCTGCAAATGTTTCTCTTGGCTTTGCGATCCTTTATTATGGTCAGAAAAGATGTTTAGAGCACATCTAAACCCGGCCCAGCCCCCAACTTAAACATGACGTGGTAAAAGAACGGCTCTAGTACAGCAAAGCTTTGGAACCAGTTCTCCTCGCCGAGAGCCGGTTCTTTGGCTGTCGAAACACAAAGAACTGGTTTGCGCGCAGGCACCGGCTCTGAACCGGCTCTCAAAATGCTTTGGTGGAAAAGGGGCTAGTGTTGCTTTAATGGAAACCTCTTCGACTGTTTCTTGTGTTCAGTTGACAAGTCTGACTACATGGTGGGCAGTTATGGGCCCCGGCCGGATGAATACGAGTTCCTGACACCCTTGGAGGAGGCACCCAAAGGCATGCTGGCCCGGGGCACTTACAACATTAAATCCAAGTTCACTGACGACGACAAGCACGACCACCTGTCCTGGGAATGGAACCTCAACATCAAGAAGGAATGGAAAGATTGAGTGTTTTCCAAACCCCCATTTTCCTTCTTGCCTTCCTCCTACCTAATTCCTCACTCCCTTTCTTCCCCTCCATCGTCGTCATCATCATCATCATCATAGTTCTGGATTAACCGATTCAAAGGAACAGGATTTTTCTCACTCCGTCCACTTTCCCCATCTTCAATCCCTTCCTCCACATTCCTATCCCTTTCCCTCCCAAATGAGTATTGAGGCTTTTCATGAAATATATATGTGAAAACAAACAAAAACATGCACAATCCATATTTTGTGTTTTGGTTTGTTTGTATATAAAAGTAAAACCAAGAGGAAAAAAAAAAAAAAAGAAAATTAAAAAAAAAAAAACCTCATGGATACTTTTGACATGGATGTTATTAGTAATCTTCACCGCCCTTTGTCGTCCTCATGTGTCCCCGAACCCTTCCAGATTATCCCACGTCATTCCCTTTTTCTGACATTCCTTGTTTTCTTTTTTAACCATGATCTGCCTTTATGAGTGTAATGGGAGAAGGTGCCACTTGCATTCCCTCATAACTCAAGTTTGCCTTTGCCCAGAGGGAACGTGTCCGATGCCTTCGAGATGAGCCTAGGGTTAGTGTAGCACGGGTAATTGTTAGCGACTGTAGCGGCGCAGGTCTTTACTTGGCTCTCGGTATGAATGTGTGCGTGTCCGATTATGGTTTTAGCTACGTAGGGTTCGTCATCCTGTCCACTAGGGGAGCCGTACTAAGAATCAGCTCTAACGGCGTAGGGGTTTTTGTGTTAACCATTTCATCGCCATGTGGCCTTAAAAATGATTCCTGTAGCAAGACATCGAGGAGCGGCCTTTTAGCATCTTAAGTTTAAATTCACTCAAGTCTTTCGTCCTTAAGAGGCCAAGGTGTCTTACCTGCTCCCTCAAGGGACTGGCGGTCGCATCTTCTGCCTCGTTCATTCGGCTCAAGTCAGGATGGACCAACCTTGAAAGCCAGTTGAAGATAGTGAACCTTGATGCTGAGCAAACATTTCCCCCAAGTCAGTTATCAAATCCCTTCCAAAGACGACTGGTGCTTCGTTTGCTGAATGTGCCCTTAGTTTGTGGTTTACGTGAGTCACCAGGTTTTCACTAACAGGTCTCAAGTATTGAACTATTCTACAGAAAAATTACCAACACCATAGATTGTGCCTCCAGTATTGACGACCACACGCTGCTCTCGATGCGTAAACCTAAGGGAAAGAAAGTCAGGACTCTAAAGGAGGTGCATTTGTAGTGGGGACAGATCTGGAGTGAACCCTAAATCTCAACTCTCAGTTCCAGTCCAGGTGTAGTCTGACCTCAATGTTCAAAACGAGAGAGGATGTTGCCATGCATCACTGTACTGTTTTATACACGCTTGTTTTGTTTGTTTTTTCTTCCGGTGACATTGCCTGCAAAGTAGTGGCTTGTTGTGCTGGTCCAGAATGCTGCTTCTGTCTTCACCTGTTTGTACTTATCTGGAGATTACTGTTCACCTGTGTCAACATTAAAGTGTTCAGAACAGACCGTTTCTGTTGTCTTCCATTCACCGACATGAATTCTGTACCATTGTTTTTTGTTTTCCTTCACCAGGGGGATGTCTAGATGGGAAGCCTCATTCTGACTATTTGAACTTAGTGGCACCAAGGTTAGGAGTCGTCTTGTAGTCTTGCAGAGCAAGTCCTGACTATCGGCATAAAGTCTGGTCTACATTACAGCTAGAGCTAGGTATACTTCATTTTCTGAGCTCTGCTCCATCTAGCCCACAGTTGGGCACACCAGACATTGAAAGTACACTCCATTGACAGTAGCTACGTTTACATGGGACACCGTTTGTTGAGTAAATCTGAACAAAGTGATTGGGTTGGTGTGCTCGTACAAGCTCCAAATCAGAATTGATCTTTTGACGTGCACACTGTACGAATATATAGTTTGCCGCCGTTTTAACATGCTACCTACGTTGCTGCTTTGTTTTAAAGAGCAGACTTGAATTGATAGTTCACCCAAATTAACCCATGATTTAATCACACAAAACCCATCCTTGGTGTATAAGCTTGATAAATGGCAGTGATTAGTGGTTCTGATTTTAAAGCCCAAAATAGCGCATCCATCCATCATAAAAGTAATCCAAACGGCTCCAGGGCCTTAATAAAGGCCTTCTGAAGCAAAGCAATGAGTTTTTGTAAGAAAAATATCAATATTTAAAACTTTATGTTCCAAAATGACTAGCTTTCGGCAGACGGCCTACTCAAGTCGACATTTTTGGGTGAATTCTCCCTTTAATATTTATATATTCCGGGTCCCAATTTGGAGACGACAAGAACATGAACCATTGTGCCGTGCTGCTTATATTTATTAAGCAGTAAAAACACCCCTTCCCACGTCCAAAACAAGGCGTCTGAAACGAGGACTGGTGGGATGTTGTCCTGCTGTCGATCAGCAGGAGCAGGATTGGGCACCCCTGCTTTAGGCTTTACTCTAAAGAGGAACAAGAAAGTGTCCACAGTTCATTTTGATTTGACCTTATTTTGAGGGATGGGGTTATTCAAAATGGTTACGTAACACCAGAAATTAACCAACATAGAGAAAAATGGATGGAGACTTTACGATCAGAATGCGTTCATACAGAAATACCAATTGTTATATATAGTCTTGCTTATAGGTATGTCTAACTACTAAGCGCCTCAGAAGTACTGAATAGCATCTAAATACGACTTGATGGAACTAACCTAAACCTTTGGTAGGTCCAGTGATTAGTGCTACCTCGTTGTAGCAACCTAGTACCTTTTGGGCACCTTTAGTTCCTGGTGGACAGGTTCACCCAAACTCCCAGATGTTACAGAAAGCCTTGATTTTCTGCAATTGTTGGTCAGTTTTGTGTGAAACGTGCCAGTCTGTGGGCCAAAACTGTTCCATGTAAGATTTTTCACAGAACAAGGGTTTCCTTCTAGACACAACCCTACAGCAAATTCATCCCGATCACTCAACTCACTCACTCACTTGTTCATCCATATGCTCAAGGTAATAAATGTATCAAACACCCTTCTAAAGCAAAGTGTGATTTAATATTGAACAAAAGTGGTTACACAACGCTGTGGTTATTCATAACATGTAATGCATGCGAGAAAGGAAATAATCAGCAATGATCATCTTCAGGGTGAATATGGTTAACAGTTTAACCAATAGTGAGTAACATGGTCTACACTAAAAGGCCAATCCGGCAAAAGCACATTAGACGAAGAACATCCTGTTAAAGGAAAAACCACCATTTATCTCTTGATATGTGGCACCAAATGATTCAGGGATGGGTTGTGCTAAACAGCCCCCTCTAAACATCTTTCTGACTGTAGTTTCGAAAAAAGGAAAAGTAAGACGTTACATGAACGACTGAGGAAACAGAATCAGTGGCACGACTATTAGGAGCGAAATCGGCTATTTTCCGCCTTTCCTCCCTTTGGTGGAGTTTGAGTCACTTTTCCTCCCTTTGGTGGAGTTAATGTCGCTCTTGGTCCTCTGCAAGCGGGAAAAGATCTCCTTGAAGAGGGCTTTGTACTCGGGAGTGTTTTGGCTCAGCCGCTTGTCCACAGCCTCCACTTGCCGGCTGATTCCCTCCAGGGCCTCAGGAGTCGAGGGCGTCTGTGGAGGAGTGGGCGGCCGCTGGGGTTCTGCGATCCGACACTCCTTCATGGACGGGTCCCGGGACACGGGTCGGGAGGTCTGCACCTCAGCGTGGCACAGACTCTCCTCGTGGCGCCGGCACTTTCCAAGCAGCTCCTCGTACTTCTCCAGGAGGGCGTGATACTGCTCATCCACCTCCCGTAGGATGGACATGCCCCTCTTCCGGACGCCGTTAGCATGAAGCGCGTAGCTGCCTTTGCGCCTCCCTGAGGCATCGAGCGCAGAGATGGCGTCTAGAGCCGTGTCGCTGCAACTCTTCCGGACGGGCGCCGCGTCCCCGTTCTGAGTTCCAGCCATGACGGTATCATCCGGCGTGTCCGTCTCGGGGGCGCAGTTGAGCAGCGTTTGCTCCAGGCCCTCGTCTCCGCTTAGCAGGCAAGCTCGGGACTTGCGGAGCTGCTGCATCTCCTGTAGCTCCGCCTCCAATTCGTACACGCGACGCTGGCAATTCTCCGCCCCCGTGAGACGCTGCTCCAAGCGCTCATACTCCTGTAGCACCGCGCCACATTCCCGCTCGGCCGCCTCACGCCGACCGCGCTCGGCCGCCACCGCTGCGCGCAAAGACGACACCATCACGCGCATATGCTCCTTCTCTTCGTCAGCAGGTGGACATTCCTCTAGGTCACCACTGCCCGGGTAGGACACCATGAAGCTATCCTCGTACCTGCAAAAGAAACACCAAACCATAGGCACAGAGAACACACCGTGATGGATCCAAAGCACAGAATATGCAGGTTTTAGAGATGACAATATCGCTGGATGATAACACATTTTTAAAGTCACAACATAATGGAAGCATCACATTTTCTTGCATATAGTGACTATAGAGGCCCCAACTTTAGGACCAAGTCGATACTGAAATTTTAAAATTGTGACTCGAGCGGAATCGTACACACCTCTGATTGGCCATTATGTTCACGTGCTCTTAGGATTTGTCTTTGATTGGCTACAATGATCAATGCTTTTGAAACCGTTTTGAAAAACGGAAGCGGGAGCGTTTGAAAGCAAAAGCAATGACCGGTCCGTTGATAGACGCCTGCTTTCAAACGCTCCCGTTTGTAAGCGTAAGCGGTACCGAAGTCAGTCCTTTTTGACAACTCTAGTGACGTACATCCGGGAGTGTGAAGAAACCTAGGGTATGATTGGTTGATATTGAGACGTGGACCTCTGCCCATAAAAGTGACAATCTTGGATTGGCATGAACTAATGCTGCGTCCTAAACCTGTATTGTACTAAATTTGATTTGAAACTTGCTTCACGAACATTAAAAAATTATGCATGAATGAAATTCGGATGTACAGCGTCCATGTTGTCACTTTCACGTGACCTATGGCATCAGTTGCGTCGCTTCACTGCCATTCACAAATCCTCTCCTCATGGGACAGTAAGGTGTCCATTGAATGCACACTTCAGAATCTCACCAGAAGAAGTAGCTCATCTGGGGACATTTTGCAAATTTGGACATGCTATTTGGCTCACGTACTGTATTTGATATGCTAGTATGCAATTTTGGACACTAGGTAAATGATTGGAGAAGTCTCCATCAAGAGTCTGTAAATTTTCAGAGGACTGAGTTATGATATTTTAGAAAATTAAAACAAAAAGTGCATGGATTTGTTCGTAATAAGATAATTCAGAGGGTTCCCTGGCTTTAAAAGCCATCTTATTGAGACTGCACTCAACACATCAATTTCTAGACATATTTTTGGCCTGATTATAACCAGAAAAATGTGTCTAACTGATCAATTCCCTGAACTTGAGGAACCCTTTTTTAAATATATATTTTACTTTAAATGTAAAACTAAAATCCCTAAATTATTTAAAAAGATCAACAGTCATTGATTATGCTTATTAAAGGGGTCATGAACTGGCTTTTTAAATTTTATTATATTGTTGTCTGAGGTCAACTTATGACGTTTGCTTGGTTTTTACATTCAAAAACATCTAAATGAATAAGTAATAGGCTATTTTCTACCCTAGTTTTGAGCCTAGCTGAAAAACGCTCGGTTTTTATGGGCGTCTCGCACTGAAGACTTGGAAGTAAACGCCCACTGCTGTGAGTGGATAACAGTTTTGCATATTATAATGAGTTTCGACTCACTCGTCAGTGCTGGGAGTCCGTGTGTTGCACCATTCCTGTCAGATCCAATATAGACGGCACAGCACCGTTCTTTAATCTTAATCGGTCTGCAAATCTAGTCTTGTTGACAAAACAATCCTCAGTGAAATGAAGCGAACAGACGGATGATGTTTTACATCACTAGCTGGAACGTTATTAAAAATAAAGTTTATCCATGCAGTCCAATTGGAATCCAGAGGAAGCTGATGTAGCGACTGTCTTCTTCCACAACCAGGCACTGCACAATATTTTTAGTAGCTCGATAGGCCTACCTCATGATGACAAACCCTATGTTATTTAGCTATGTGTGTAATGCGCGAATCAGTGGGCGGGGCTAAACCGGCCGTGTTGAAGTAGGCGTTTATCTTCTTCTGTGGGGGTGGTGTTTTATCCTCTTTGTCGTCATAGTTCCCCTTTTTGAAAAACGAGTCGTTTGCTGAGCCTGGTGTCAATAAAAGCTTTTATTGGACTAACAAGGACGTTTTCAGTTCTGAAACTTACAGGATATTCTTATAATATGATGATCTCTTAGATGTCAAAAGCTCAAGGAAATTTTGATTTCTCAGTTCATCACCCCTTTAAAGAGGTTTTGCCAACTCTACAATCTGTATGTTGTTAAAGAACAGTATTATCCAATGAAAGCACTGTTCTTCTGTCCCGCACAGCCTCGTCTTCATTCCTGTCACAATGGCTACCCTGACAAAGCTCTGTTCTTCTCTTTCTTGGAAATTACTGTGTGTCCATTTTTGTCCCCAGTGGACAGTTTTTTTAATGGCACGACATGCCTCCACTGCAGGAGTAATAAATCGGGACGTACCTGGGAGCGGTGCAGAGCTCTTTGAGGCAGGGGAAAGAGTGCACTGTCTTTCTCCTCTCTTTTTTTTCTCTGTGAACCCTGAGCTCCTCCAAAGTGCGCAACTCCTCCACGCGAGCCGTTAGCGTGTCGACCTGCCCCTGCAGCATCTCCATAGTACCCGTCAATCTGTAGGAACATGTTTGCATATGATCAATTCAATGCACGAGACAGCCAGACAACATAAACCATATCAGAAATGTCCATTGGATTGCCAGATAATACAGAAATTTACTATCAACCTTTGAATAATGTAAATGCCCTAATAATAGGAGACTGTTGTCTGGTGATGTCACAATATCAATACAGTAATCCACATTCAATGGAAGGCAAACAATGCTAAGTGGGAACTGGTCAGATAATGAATCTGAACTTATGAATATTAATTGACAGAGGCTCCAGGAGGGTAACAGTGTCGCATCAGCCTGACCTAATTAATATTTATGAGCTGCGCCTTTGCCAGATTAAAGGCCTGTTCATGCCAAGGGCTATAACTGTAAAAATATAGTTTTAAAATTAAATTGAAATGTTAAAGAATAGTAAAGTTTATATATATATATATATATATATATATATATAGAATATGGTTACACTTTATTTTATGGTATTCAAGTTACAGTGTATTTATGCATTTAACTACCGAGTAATAATAATAAACTACATGCAATTACTATAGAGAGATTGGGGTTTTGGTTTAGGTTAGTTGCATGTAATTATGCATTATTCATAGTTATACCTAGAATATGTATTAGTCCACACCACAATTGTATTCACACATGGTTCCTAGACAGAAACATAGTGTCGGCCCAGATCCGGCCCACTTCTGGGACACGTTGATTCACGTGTGTACTGACCTGGGCCGATACCCTATGATGCTGTCCGGGTTGGAAACACTTTTTTTTCCAGCAGATGAACAACAAAAACATTGACAGCCAATCAGAACCCATCCTGCTTTAAAGAGCTCGAGCATTTAAAGCAGCAGATGATAAAGCTCAGAATAATCTGGGCTGCGTTTTCTAAAACATTGTAATCCTAAATTGATCGGTGGCAATTGTTCTACGCTCGACTTATGCGTACGATGCTTTTCGACGAAACTTTGATGTGGACACTAATATAGTTATCGTTCTTTGAGTGAACAAAGAGGCCTTTAGACTCATGATGTCAGGAATGCGTCACTTTTAGAGAGGTCCAATAGAATAACTGGTATTGACATTTTCGGTACCGAAGTACCAGTACTTGTGTCGCCCCCTTGTGTCGTGTAGTGCGTTTCCTCTGATACGGTACGGCTCACCTGTCAATCTTCTGCTGAGAAGCTTTGCTTTCCAGCACCAGTTTCTCATTGGTTATCTCCAGCTCTCGGGCCGTCACATCCAACTGCTCGTACACCTTAGCGTGCTGCTCGTTCATCTCGCGTAACATCTCCATCTGCTTGGTCAAGTACTGACGCAGACACACATGCAGAGTTTATGATATCACTGTAAACAGGGCTGTTAGTCAATGTTTTGTGATTGTTTTTATGTATGAGAGGTTTTAAAACCCATTAAGGTTGACAAGTGTAATTTAATTAATCACATATGCTGATATTGTGTAAACCTAATTAGAAACGGTTCATAAAAGTGCCAAAAATAACGTTTCCCCCAATGCTAATTGAAATATCACAGTATCTTGTTTGATGGAGTTCACCAATGTTCACAACTACAGTGAAAATGAGACCTGTGTTCAAGCTATTATAAAATGGCATATTCTTGTGGAAAGTTTGGTAATCTCTTGTGAAATGTGTTTTTGTGTTAAATATCGCTCTAAGCTAAAGACTATAAACCCCTTACATCTATTTTTTCCCCTGTGCTTGGATTCATACGGCCCAAGCAGTCTCAAGTCATTACAGGTCTGAGATGCTGTGCAATCCATCCAGAATGAGGCCAGTCTCCGAATCTCTCTGAGAAACAGCGGCTCATTGTTCTCAGATATGTAACTGAGTCTTTGTTCAGAGGATCTGGCACACGTACAGGCGACTCCCACCTACAAACACGCTTCGTGCGCTACATTAGCATTGCGCTGGTACACACGTGTCTCATCAACGGGAAATCTGGAGACGTCAGGTCTGAGGTCAGCCATTCACAATGCAATGAGAATCCTTTTAGATTCAATTCATTTCCTCAATTTGAACTGAGGTCACACACGGTTTTATTAATATGAAAATTTCCACAAACTAATAATCAATGTTTGACTTTGAATCCCAAATGCAATTAGTTTTTTTGTGTTTAATGCATATATCCAGTATTTCATTGTATGGACCATGGTGGAAAACACCCAATTTCCTTCCAATTCATTTAATATATGCTAACACTGCAAATTTGATGTCAAAGCCAATTTGATTAATTTCATGACATTTTTGGAAAACAAAATGACGCCATTTACAGTGAGATTTAGGCAAAACTGTGACTAAACTTTACCTTGTGTAAACGCAACACATCTGTAAAAATAATGCGAGTGAGCTCATTCATAATCAAAATATTAAACATTAATATTTCGGACTTGTTGGTCGACCAAACCGCTTCTAATCGACCAACGGTTATTCGGACCATTAGTGTTGCTCGCCTCACTTTTATATTTTGGCTTTTGAACCTTTGGTTTTGTTTCCAAAGCATCAGCACATAACAGCACTTTCATCTATCTGTCGTGAATATACTGCAAATATTCAATCTAAAGGACGTGTGAAAGTGAGCAGAAATGAGATCATGATTATTATGAAATCATACGTCAGGTTAAAAGGATACTCCACTTTTTTTTTTTTTTTTGGAGATAGTCATTTTACATTGAAGTCATTTTGAGCCTGTTTCCCATATGGAAGTCAATGGGACCAGAACCTGTCTGGTTACTGATATTCTTCTAAATATCAGAAATTTGGCTGAATGGATTCGAAAATGGAAAAACTCAATTGTTTAATTGAGTTGTCGAACGAGGGAGAGTTGGGGGAGTTGTAAAACGAGCCTAATTCCCAAAAAAAGTGGAGTATCCCTTTAAGTCAAGTCAAGTATGGCGGTTTTCACAATATCGACTGCATCAAAGCAGTTTCACAGTATCAATCAAAACATAATAACAACGTTCGTTTCTTAGTGGAAAAACATCCACGTTTGGTAGAGCTGATCAATGGTCATCAATAGCGGTTCATGATTAAGTTCAAACCAGCAGCGAAACGTTCCCAGACCACCCTTTTTAATGCGGACTCGGGTACGCTTACATCATCCAAAGTCTGACATCAATCGAACCCGAGGTGCGCTCCCAAAGGGCTAGAGTGAAATAATCCAGATTGCTTGGTGATTACGGGTTATGATGATATTGAACTTAGTCATTTAAGCAAGTCCTGCCACTCGGACCGCCATCTTGGCAACGTCTCCGGCCAGCAAGACCAGGCTCCTGTCTAAACGAATGGGCAGAGTCAGAACTGAACTTTTCACTGGTCACGGGACATAAAAACTGCTTGTATAGAAACAGCAGTAAAATATGATAGAAATCGCTGAAAAAGTTTGATGACTTTGCCCCATAATAAGGTTTAAAACACCCTTTTCCCCACAGGTTATACGTTTACTACGCATGCGCAAGGGTTCTCGTCTCCACTGTCGCTGACATCAACTGTACGATAGGCTTATATGTTTCCCGGCTTGACTGTTAAAAGCAGACGATTGGCTTTCCAGCGGCAGGGGCGGGACATGTGCATACAACCGCCATCTTTGGCACAATGGGTTTTTTCAATATTTTTTCAATATTGAGGATTGAGGAAGTGGCATCTAAACTGTTTCGGACTTAATTTAGAGAAACATCTAATGGAGTATCGTCATACATTAAGCACAATAATGTGAGCGTCAGTTGTGGATCATGAGGATGCATTGGCGGGTCTGTACCTCGATCTCCTGCACCTGCTCCTCGTTGTTGATGTACATCTGCTGCAGCGAGTCCTCCAGCTCTTTATTGCGCTCCAGGAGGGTTTTGCCCAGCTCGGCTGCCAAGTGCAGATCTGAGACAAACACACAGCGCAATATCAGGGGATCTGCCAGGAAGCCTTTTGTTTGTTTCTTTTTTTCCCTCCTTTAAGCAGCACATTGTGTCCTGCAGGTGTGTTTTAGCTTTAGGAAAAACATGGTTACCACAGGTTTCCATTCATTTCTATAGGGCAATTAAAGAGAACCCAATTACATATATTTACTTTAAATAAAGGAGGAATTTGAAAAGATAACTGTGAGAACAAGCAATTTAGCGACACAATGAGATTTTTGTGAAATCATACTGTTGGGGTCAGATTTATTATTATTATTTTAACCCTTTACCTGTTCCATAGAATTTAATTGTGCATTAAATTCAAAAGAATTTAAATATGCATTCTGCCATAACAAATTAATAAATTTCTATCAAAATATCACTTCTGTCACTAAATATGGAACCTTGAGACTCAGACCTTTCTGACAACATGCGTTTTGTCAAGATTAGAAAAGGTTTTGATAATAAATTATGAAAGATGATGCCAAATAAAAAATATATAATTTTTATATAATTAAAAAAATACAATTTCTATGGTAACACGACGTCCAATTTCCAAATGGTTTTCACAGGATGAAGTCATGAGTTCGTAAGCTTTCAAATGATACCTAATTTATGATAACTACTAAAATATGTGATATAATAATAAGAAGAAATTATAAATATATTTTAAAAAGTAAGGTAAGAAGTCCACTAAAAAGTGTAATATATTATATATATAATATATTACACTTTTTAGTGGACTTCTTACCTTACTTTTTAAAATATATTTTTATCTTTTTTTACTGACAAATACTAGTTTGTTTTTTTATGAACTTTTAGCACTAAAAACCAAAGTTTCAATTATTAAAAGTGTGTGCGTCGACTTCTTGTGACAAAGGTCAGAAACTCCTGTAATGACGTCGATTTTTTTGAGGCGCACTCTTGTCATAAATTCATATATTACTGTTCATTCATAATTTGTAAGAAAAAAACAGACCTATAATATCTATTAACCCTCTGAGACCTAAGGGTATTTTTACAATAAATTTTCGGTCTGGTGTCATTTACTAAAAAAGCTTGTAAAATATCAACCCTTTGGTGCACAGACAATTGACACACCTCTTTTTTTCAGGACAAATTGAACTTTCAGCATATTTGTGTTACATTGATGTCACCTGAATGTAAAATAAGTTATGGGACCATAAAGACAAATGAAAAAATAAATCGGAAATGGAATCACTCAATTATTTATTGAAATCACACACAAATAAATAAAAGCTAAGCAATTTTCCTCTGGAAAATAGTTTGTTCATGTCTTTGGAGTCCTGGAGCACAGGAATAAACATTATAACTTGTACAGAACAAAAACTATTGACATTTTTCCAAAAGAAGTCCAGGCGTTTGGGGCCTCATGAAATTCACTGGTGCCAAGCCTCAAAACAGTTCCTATCAGCAATCACACAGAGGGCCACATCACAGGTTTTGCATTTCTATTTTATTTATTCTTTTATTTATTATGTTCTTTTTATTCTTTTATAATACATTTATACTACTATAATACTTTTTTACAGTAAATAAATAAATGGCACTTCAGCTGGGTCTATCCTGGTAATCTAGTTCCTCATCTGTCAAAAAGCTCTGTTTTCCAGAAAATCCATCATCCTGCAATGCACCAAAATAGACCAGCGCTTTATTTACGTCCATTTCGCTGTGTTTCTCTGTGAATCGCGCGTCTCCGTGCGTCTCTCTATCTCTCTACACTATATCAGCGCTTGGTTCATGCGTAATGACGCACACCAATGTTTACGACAGATCAGCCTGTAATTGGTCAAAAACCATCACGTGAAAACATCACGTGATATCCAGAATGGCCGCTAGCGTCGAGCTAGCGGCAAAAATGACCGAATATTTATGAATTATGGACTTCAAGATTATCAAAAATTGACATAAAGCGTTTGGATTTATTGCTGAAAACCTCTGAAAGGAAGCACAAGTTCCAGGCTGGATAGAAAACCTTCTGTAAAGGCTAGAAAGACACGAAAGACACCCCCGTGATGGCTAGCTCGTTAGCTTTCTGCTGGAAAAAACGGTAAGAAAATCGATAAATCTGTCATCGAGTTATGTAAACATTTATCGGAGGTGACGTGTGGCATCGTCGACGACGCCGTCGGGATCAGGGGGTTAAGGAGTCTTAGACTTTTCCAACGATATATAGTTTGTCATGACTAGATTAGGATTTAATAGTAATATAGTGAAGTAAATTTAGGTTGCCCGTATACGGGCAAGTGACAGTTAAGGGGAAAGAAATAAACACTTATTCAGCGAGGATGGAGTAAAGTACAGACAGCTACAAAAATATTTCAATTTCAAATCAATGCTGTCCTTTTGAACTTTCTACACGTCAAAGAATCCTGAACAATTGTCACAGTTTTCCAAAAAAATATGAACATTGATAATCGGAAATGCTTCTACACAGTCGTTTTTTTTTTCTGGTCGAAATTTTGAGTTTCGATATCTCAGCTCTGGAAGGGTCTAGAGCCTCCATTTTTGCACTCAGGTCTAAGTCTCATGGCCCTCTGTCATAATCCAGAGTTTCAAGAAGATTGGGGATACTTAATTTTTCGCCCAAAAAAAAAAAACGTAAGGGGTAACACTGTCGTTTTTTTTTCTGGTCGAAATTTTGAGTTTCGATATCTCAGCTCTGGAAGGGTCTAGAGCCTCCATTTTTGCACTCAGGTCTAAGTCTCATGGCCCTCTGTCATAATCCAGAGTTTCAAGAAAATTGGGGAAACTTAATTTTTCGCCCCAAAAAAAAAAACGTAAGGGGTAACACTGTCGTTTTTTTTTCTGGTCGAAATTTTGAGTTTCGATATCTCAGCTCTGGAAGGGTCTAGAGCCTCCATTTTTGCACTCAGGTCTAAGTCTCATGGCCCTCTATCATAATCCAGAGTTTCGAGAAAATTGGGGAAACTTAATTTTTCGCCCAAAAAAAAAAAACGTAAGGGGTAACACTGTCGTTTTTTTTTCTGGTCGAAATTTTGAGTTTCGATATCTCAGCTCTGGAAGGGTCTAGAGCCTCCATTTTTGCACTCAGGTCTAAGTCTCATGGCCCTCTGTCATAATCCAGAGTTTCAAGAAGATTGGGGATACTTAATTTTTCGCAGAAAAAAAAAAACCGTAAGGGGTAACACTGTCGTTTTTTTTTTCTGGTCGAAATTTTGAGTTTCGATATCTCAGCTCTGGAAGGGTCTAGAGCCTCCATTTTTGCACTCAGGTCTAAGTCTCATGGCCCTCTGTCATAATCCAGAGTTTCAAGAAAATTGGGGAAACTTAATTTTTCGCCCAAAAAAAAAACGTAAGGGGTAACACTGTCGTTTTTTTTTCTGGTCGAAATTTTGAGTTTCGATATCTCAGCTCTGGAAGGGTCTAGAGCCTCCATTTTTGCACTCAGGTCTAAGTCTCATGGCCCTCTATCATAATCCAGAGTTTCGTGAAAATTGGGGAAACTTAATTTTTCGCCCAAAAAAAAAAACGTAAGGGGTAACACTGTCGTTTTTTTTTCTGGTCGAAATTTTGAGTTTTGATATCTCAGCTCTAGAAGGGTTTAGAGCCTCCATTTTTGCACTCAGGTCTAAGTCTCATGGCCCTCTATCATAATCCAGAGTTTCGAGAAAATTGGGGAAACTTAATTTTTCGCCCAAAAAAAAAAACCGTAAGGGGTAACACTGTCGTTTTTTTTTCTGGTCGAAATTTTGAGTTTCGATATCTCAGCTCTAGAAGGGTTTAGAGCCTCCATTTTTGCACTCAGGTCTAAGTCTCATGGCCCTCTATCATAATCCAGAGTTTCGAGAAAATTGGGGAAACTTAATTTTTCGCCCAAAAAAAAAAAAAACGTAAGGGGTAACACTGTCGTTTTTTTTTCTGGTCGAAATTTGAGTTTCGATATCTCAGCTCTGGAAGGGTCTAGAGCCTCCATTTTTGCACTCAGGTCTAAGTCTCATGGCCCTCTATCATAATCCAGAGTTTCGAGAAAATTGGGAAACTTAATTTTTCGCCCAAAAAAAAAAAACGTAAGGGGTAACACTGTCGTTTTTTTTTCTGGTCGAAATTTTGAGTTTCGATATCTCAGCTCTGGAAGGGTCTAGAGCCTCCATTTTTGCACTCAGGTCTAAGTCTCATGGCCCTCTATCATAATCCAGAGTTTCAAGAAGATTGGGGATACTTAATTTTTCGCCCAAAAAAAAAAAACGTAAGGGGTAACACTGTCGTTTTTTTTTTCTGGTCGAAATTTTGAGTTTCGATATCTCAGCTCTGGAAGGGTCTAGAGCCTCCATTTTTGCACTCAGGTCTAAGTCTCATGGCCCTCTATCATAATCCAGAGTTTCGAGAAAATTGGGGAAACTTAATTTTTCGCCCAAAAAAAAAACGTAAGGGGTAACACTGTCGTTTTTTTTCTGGTCGAAATTTTGAGTTTCGATATCTCAGCTCTGGAAGGGTCTAGAGCCTCCATTTTTGCACTCAGGTCTAAGTCTCATGGCCCTCTATCATAATCCAGAGTTTCGAGAAAATTGGGGAAACTTAATTTTTCGCCCAAAAAAAAAAAAAAACGTAAGGGGTAACACTGTCGTTTTTTTTTCTGGTCGAAATTTTGAGTTTCGATATCTCAGCTCTGGAAGGGTCTAGAGCCTCCATTTTTGCACTCAGGTCTAAGTCTCATGGCCCTCTATCATAATCCAGAGTTTTGAGAAAATTGGGGAAACTTAATTTTTCGCCCAAAAAAAAAAAACGTAAGGGGTAACACTGTCGTTTTTTTTTCTGGTCGAAATTTTGAGTTTCGATATCTCAGCTCTGGAAGGGTCTAGAGCCTCCATTTTTGCACTCAGGTCTAAGTCTCATGGCCCTCTATCATAATCCAGAGTTTCGAGAAAATTGGGGAAACTTAATTTTTCGCCCCAAAAAAAAAACGTAAGGGGTAACACTGTCGTTTTTTTTTCTGGT